GGCAAAGATTATCTTTAATATGTGGATATTTATTACTACTGTATAGCTTGTCACTGTTTGTGCTCTAAAGTAAAAATTTTACTTTGAGAATTGCATATACATAAATATGTGCACATACGTGTACACACCAAGGGAGTGAATAAAACCAGCTAGAGACAACAATGTTCGAATACATTTATTAGGTTGGCTCTCATTACCTAGCAAGTTCCTGAGAGAGTGGGGTGCAAGACTGGTGAGTTTGGCAGGCAGCGGGAATCGATCATCAGGAAATGCTGAGAGCCCAGGTGTGTGAGCCGGGAGGATCTGTACTCAAGGATTTGATAGTAGAGAGCTCCGGGAAATTAAGAGCAGTGCACGAGTGTTCATGAATGTCCGTAGCAATAAAAGGAACAGATACAGAATAATGTGCCTGGAATAACACTGGTGCGCACTCTGGCTCCTCGCGGTGTTATCTGCTGTCACTGTCCTCACCACCATCATCTCATTATTATGGCAAAAAGAGAAGGGGTGAGGAAAAAAAACAGGTGTGAGAGGAGGCTATGAACACCTCCTAATTTGAGGGACGGATTCTGGTCAACCTGGTCCTGGCATAGGGAATAAGATGTCTGTGGCAAATATACCATCTCATTTCAGAATGAGATGCCTTCTTGTTAGAAAGGGCCAATACAGACTGCATTATGGGAGAAAAGTTTCTTGCTCTGGGAGGGATACGACCAGAAGTCTCCCTGGGCAGGTGTGTCCCATTCTGTGAGGCACCAAACTGTGTCCTGGTGAAGAGATCAGTCAGAATAGGGATTTGGCCCCAGTGTGATAAGAAATTCCTTGGAGGGACATTTTTTTGGGGGACAGCAGGGAGCTTTCTGATGAGGGAAGAATCCCAGCTGAGGTTGGTTGACTTCTTACTAAATGAGGTACAGTTTCTGCATGGTCTAAGTAGCTGCACCAGGACAGAAGTTCCCAAAGGCCAGAATCACCTGGAGAATTGATTACAAAATAGACTTCCAGGCCTCCATGAGGGATTCAGTAAGTGTTGAGAGGGGCTAAGGAAGCTGTAGTCTATACTTATTTTAAAAAATTAGGGACATGGTTCAGTGGTGGAATGCTTGCCTCGCATGCTCAGGTCCCTGGGTTCAGCTCCCAGCTACACACACGTGCATGTGCATGTGCACACACACACACACACAGAGAAGGTGGATTAACAAATCAGATGGATTAATGGGTAGATGACTGATTGACGGATGTGACGATGCTACACGCTAACGGTGAAATATAGGTTGTGGATCTGTTCTCATTCTAAAATTCTTTCAACTTTGTAGTATTTTTGGAAATTTTCACAAGAAATTTTGGATAAACAATTTCTTTTTTCCTTCCTTTCTTTCACAGTACGGGGGATCAGACTGAATCTCCTGCATGCTAGGGAAGTGTGCTACTACTGAGCTACATCCTAGCCATAACTTTTTAAAATAAGTAATACATTCAGGTGACTCAAAAAATGGGAACATATTCAAGGACCTGCAGTGCAGGTGATCTCCTCTCCCTGCCCCTTATCTACCCATTTTCTATGTGTCCTTTAAAAGGTAGCCATCCTGGGGGTTAGGATATAGCTCAGAGCTAGCATATGACCTTAGCATGTGTAAAGCCCCAGGTCCAATCCTCAGCACCAAAAAAGTTAAAAGAAATAGCAAGTGTTGGCATAGGATGTGGAGAACATGAAAGTGGGAACATGAAATGAAAAAGAAGGAAAAAAATAACCATCCCTTTCATAACGTGTGCTTTTAAAGAAATAGCAAATAGATTCAAATATTTGTACACTGGGTTCATAGCAGCTTTATTCACAATAACTAAAAGGTGGAAGCAACCCAAGTGTCCACGGA